TTAAAACGTTAAAAGTTAAACATTAAATAATATTTGAGCAAATTCAATTTACAGAGTGTTTCAAATGTTTTATCTATCAAATAATAAAACTAATTTTTCACTTTTTTTTTTGGTTTATGTTTATTTTTCTACTAATATTTTTTTAGTAAGACATGTTAGAGGTGAAAAATCTATACTTTTATTTTTAACGTACATATTGTACCTTGCAGTTTATGCTGCAACGCATGTCGTTCCCAAAAAACAGCAATGTCCATCAAAAAATTAGAGTAAGTCGAAAAATGACTATGAGACAGTTTGAATATCTAACCAGTTTTTCTTGTTAAATTATTATAACCTTTTGACATACTCTTTATATTAAAAGAGTCTTAACAATTTGCATACAGAGGTTACAAGACTGATTATTAGTTAATAAATTTTAATGTTTTATTAAAATAATTTCAGTTTTATATAATAATAATTTATTAAATATTATTCTTTTGATAAGTTTAAAACAAATTAAGTATTTGCTCGTAAAAGTGGTATTCGACTTGTGGTTATTACTGCTATATTTGAAAGTTTACTGTAGAATTTAAAGAAAATTAGAGCTCTAACATGTCTCTTGAATTGTTACATTTAATTTATGCCGTTGTTCTTCTAATATTTTAACTATAATGAAGTGTGTGTTTGAAGCATATATTCTATGTGTTAACCTAAAGGCGTCATTTGTAAAGGTTTTCCGTATGCGGACACCAGCAGAAGCTGTAGAATTGGTGTCAGTGTTACTTGAATACACTCCATCACTTAGGGTGTCTCCGTTACAAGCTTGTGCTCATGCATTTTTCGATGAGCTAAGAGATCCGCTCCATAGATTACCAAATGGACGATCATTACCTCCACTATTCAATTTTACACAATTAGGTATGTCATTAATTTAACTATCATTTAAACTCAAAAATTATTTCATTTTTCTTTTAACATAACTCAATTTCTGCATGTGTTATCTCTATCGTACAACAATGTAACACTTAAAAATAATTTAAGAATTTAAATTCTGTAGAACCAACTTTATTTTGTTAACTTGTAATAGATGTGATAAATTATCAGTGTTTTATATATTTATGTTTGTTAAATGGAGATAGCACATTATGCAGCTATAGTATGCTCTTAAATAATGTTTCAATATTTCTATATCTGGCTTAACTTAAGTCATACTTAACTATTACATTTTTTTTTTAGAATTGAGTGCAGCTGGGCCTTTGAAATCTGCTTTGATACCCAAGCATTTAAAAGATTCTTTAGGAAGCGGAAATGAAGCATCTGCAGCTAGTGGTGGTCCATCTACTCCAGAGAATATTAATCCAGACAGTCCAAATCACCCTTCTTCATCGACTACTTCCAGGCAACCTTCAAATGAAATAGTGTAAAAGGTAAAGGAAATTTATGTAGATTTAAGATAAGTTTTTGTGAATTAATTTTTATTGGGTTGTTAAAAATCATTATTTAACTTAACAGTTAGTATTGAAGTTTGTTGTTTTAAAGTCCTTTAAGCACTTWATAATGAGTTATTGAAATTTGTATTCAATTGGAATTGTATCAAAATCGTCCAATTATTTATTTTTCATACTTAATTTCCTATTTTAACAATTAGCATCACTTAAATGTATTGGTAAATCAAAAATTGCAGATTAGTAAAGTTTAAGTCAAGCATAGTTACAACAGAAATTGACCCTTTATTGGCATGTATAATGTAAAATATGTATGGTATTAGTTTTTTGGGTGACTAAACAAAGTTTAGGGAGGGCTTAGCCTCCAGCCCACTATAAAATGCTTATATGAGCATGCATTTATGCATTTATATGAACTAAATATCTAAAATTATGCACTTAAAAAATGCTTATAWAAAAAAATCATAAACAATTTTTAAAATAACATGAATTATCCATTAATTTTTTTTTCGACTAATGCTGATTCTTTCATACTATTTCTATAAAAAAAAATGCATATTGATATAATAATATCAATAGGAACATCAAAATCATGTATAATATGCCCAATAAAATAGAAATATAGTTAAATATACCAAATAAGCAAAAAACCTCTAAATATGAAAAATAAGACTACATATTTAATCATGGCACCTTGAAATGGATTTCTATGTCATCTAGCAATAATACAACTTAGTAACATTGATATACAAATCTATGAAATTATGAGCACTGCTTATTACTATACATTTAAAACTAATGTAATTATTAACAACACTCATTTAGTAMAATATTGTTAACATAATTTTTTTTTCCATAGATTAAAGTGAGACAGATTGTATTAAAAATTAAATGTACATTGAAGTACAATTGACATTTTTGTTCATTATTATAAAACATCAAAATTTTAAGTCATACAGGTTGGTTAAATCTGATCTGAATAATAATTATTTATTTTAATAATGTTAAAATACAATTTTTGAATAAAACTAGTGTAAATATTTACAGCAACATCATTTTCAATTGGTTGATATATTACATTGATAAAAATTCTAAAAAA